AAATTGCTTAATGAGGTCATAGACGTGCCGTCAAATAATTTTGACTTCGTGATTATTGGGAAAATAGTAATACTAAATACTATCAAATCGAAACTCTTTACTTACATTAAAAAAAAAAACATTTTGTCATGTCTTAAAACAACTTAAGTAACATCAGTGTGTTTTCTGTTGTTGCAGATTAGATGACAAATAACTTAGATTAGGTTGTAAGATGTTAGTTTCAGAAGGACTATTAATTTTTTATAGTTATTAATTGTTTTTTAGCATTAATTGTTAATTTTTTAATTAATAATTGTTGATTATTGCGAATTTTAATTTAATTGTTACATATGCTTCATAGTGTAATAACATTTGTGTAATAACATTTCATAGTGTAATAACAATTGTGATCGGTAGCGTGCCCAAAATATTGTGTCTCGTGCCATAAATGGCACGCGTGCCATTGGTTCGCCATCCCTGATACAAAGAGTTTGGAGCATGAACCGGGTAAGTGACATCTTCAGAGTGGCTATAATCAGGGTAAGAAAAAAAGAGTGGCATCAGAAATATTTTATTATAGATTTTATACATTAGGAATAATGGCAGCTCTGGCTAATAGAGGTTCAGGAACAAAACAAACTTTTTCATAAAGCACATATACTAAACAAAAAGTAAAGAACAAAAAAGATGGTGTACGTATGATACCATTCATAAAAACTACGAACTTAGCACCCTGTAGAAATTGTAAAAAATATTTCCTTTTACAATAACTTAATATTACATGGTTGGAATCATGATTAATACACTGCATGTCTTTCATACGATGAAATACAGAGTCCGTGTTAGAACGCCTAAAGCCTCTAGAGTATTAATTTATCCAGCTGATCTCGGGAAAGATTACTTCACTCAGCAAGCAATGCTCTCCGAAGTTTCGTTACACATGTAGGTGGTTGACAGTCTGCAGTCAGCCAAGCATATATCACACATTTTCTATCGGACTTAAATCAGGTGATATCTTGAAATTGAAGGCATTCGTTTACGATGTTTGCTCGGTGATAGACTGGCGTTGTCAACCATAAACACAAATTCTGCGTCCATGACACCTCTAAACAGACGTACGTGTTATTCCAGAATGATGTCTCGTTAAATTTGGCTTTTCATGGTTCCGATTTAAATATGAAGCTCTGCTCTGGAGCCAACGATGGTGGTAACATGAAGTTCTGTTCTGGAGCCTGGTATAATTCCCGCCCAAACTAGCCATTTTGAACCACCGTAACCATTTCGCTCAACGATGTAGTCTTGGTGGTAAGATGAAACTCTGTTCTGGAGCCTAGTATAATTCCCGCCCAAACTAGGAATCTTGCACCATCGTAACCATGTCACTCAACGATGTAGTCTTGGTGGTAAAATGAAGCTCTGTTCTGGAGCCTGGTATAATTCCAGCCCAAACTAGTAATCTTGGGTCACCGTAACCATATCACTCAACGATGTAGTCTTGGTGGTTACATGAAGCTCTGTTCTGGAGCCTGGTATAATTCCAGCCCAAACTAGTAATCTTGAACCACCGTAACCATGTCACTCAATGATATAGTCTTGGTGGTAACATGAAGCTATGTTCTGGAGCCTGGTATAATTCCAGCCCAAACTAGTAATCTTGGATCACCGTAACCATGTCACTCAACGATGTAGTCTTGGTGGTAACATGAGGCTGTGTTCTGGAGCCTGGTATAATTCCAGCCCAAACTAGCCATCTTGAACCACCGTAACCAAGTGGCTCAATGATGTAGTCTTGGTTTTAACAGATACCTGACGTTCTTCATATGAAAGTCCGACGCGAATCGGACTGCAAGCTAAACCTAGACTCGTCGGGAAACATCGCATTAGCCTCACATTTTCCACATTGCAAGTTCTCTACTTTCGACTAATCACTGGAGCTAGTAAGTTACAGAAAGCGGAACACACATGAGTGGCCTTTAGCCTATAGACCAATATTTCCCAAACGTCTAAACATGGTTGACCTTGAAACTGTTGTACCAGTAGCTGAAGTCTGCTGACGAGACAGGTAGGAGGCTATGCTCCACCTGCTTCTTTTGACATTTACTGAAAAAGCCGACCTGTAATGCAACGTGTACTGACATTTCCATCATCTTGAAATCGTTTCCAAAATCTAGAGATGACACTTTGAGCAATCCCAAGCCCTTCGGATACTTCCATAACTGTTGTTAGAGTTAGCAACAGTTGACCAAGTTCAGCCTATTTTATACAGACAGCGCCCTCTATGTTGAAAATAGCACAAATCGTCACTATGCTTCCCACGTCCAGGCATTTCTCGTAGGATTAAGATGTATTAGTGAACATAAATAATTTTGCTCAAAAATAACATTTAAAATTAAAAGTTTATTGTTTTATCAAATTTGGAGGGTTCGCCATAATTTAATATTTTTGTTGAACAAAAAGGCTGACATACAATAAAATGCAATGACATAAATACAATTAGTTCATGAAGCTTATCTTTAAGTTCTTAATCATTCAATCTCTTTCACTGTAATTTATAAAAGCATGTTAATGCAGTTTACTCCAAAAAAATAATAATTTTAAACCAGTTAATGTATTTAAGACACCGATTACACGTCATAGTTTAGAAACAACTATTTTAAATTCTTAACTCAGAAAACAATCAAAATAAAAACACGTAATAATAACAGAGTAGAATAAGAAAAATAAATATTACATGAGAACTAAAACAATATTGAAATTACTGTCAGAAAACTGGATTCTTCCATGTGATTTTCCGTCCAATAAAAGTGCACAGACAACAATGGAAAACTATATTAGACATAGAGATATAATAAATATTACAGTGCAATGGGGAGGTTTTAATATTGTATTTTAAAAAAAAGTTGTTCCGAACCTAATATTCATATCAACTCTAATTAATGCCAACAGATAGCGCCTGAATTAGTATAAAACCATTGTGCTTAATTCCCTGCTTTACATTTCACAATAAAATTCATAAAAGACAACAAGTCTGTTTGCTGGTGTTCTTGAATCCTTCCAAAAGTAAAGAACAGCTTCTACTTTTTTGTTTGAATTTTATTTCGTTTCTTAATACAATTGCCCTTAATTTTTTTCATATTTGTTACATGTGTATATCTAAGCAAATTTCGCGTGAAACCCTTAAGAGGTTATCCTATCATTATACCTTTAAATGAAATACTTTTTTGAAAACTGTTCAAATATTAATTGTTCGCCTACTTTCAAATTAGTAAATAATTACTTATATTTACCCTAGGTTTTTCTAAGGTCACAGTGGCATAGCTGGGCTGTTGTGGTCTCAATTTCTTAAGGGAAAGCCTTATTTCGCCAACAGGCTCATGGCAATGTGTATCTTCATCCATTACTGTCATTCTGAAAATAATTATCACATTAATATTTAACCCTTTAACGATCGGTTAATTTTCAAGAAAACGGTCATAAAAGTGCCTCTTTTTTTATCCAATAACAAATATATGTATTTGATTAGTGCTGACATCTAGTTTAAAATAAACTAACTATCTAAAATTACCTTAAAAATATCCTGGTACTGCCATCTGGTGTGTAAAATGAGAAATAAAATGTTTTCCGGGTAAAAGAAATGAATTAGTTTTATTCTTATTGGCACGTTACTACTGAATATTCCAGCCCGGAAATATCACGGGAGCTGGAAATAGAGGGAGAAACCATTTTCACGGGAGCGAGAAGGAAGGTATTAATGATTAGCAAATGAAATTCTTTGACTTGGAAAAAACATAATTGACTATAAATGTTATTAACACAAGTTACCAGGAAAAATATACTTTAAAAAATTGAAGAAAAGTATCGCTCATGCGATACTCTAACAACTCTTACTTCTTATTTATAGGCGAATGGGCGAAATGGGTGTTGTTTGACCCCTGTTGTTGAAAAACCGACCCAAGTTTGGGTTTACTACTACTAATGTTCAGCTCCGTAGCCTTGTCATTTTGAGCCCAATCCAGAAGACAAGGGAACTCCTGGATCAAGTATTAGTAGAAATATGCCTTTGTAGAGGGCTTTTTAACGGAACTAACACGCATTTGCGTTACATGGAGAGGAAAACCAAGAAAATTTTCCACGGTTAGTCTAACGTAGGGCACTCTAACCCATGATCTGTTTACCACTGAGGATATTTTACGTCAGCACTGTGGTAGGTACAAACCAAATGCGGAACTCAAATCAACCTTCCACAGCCGGGATTTGAGCCCGGTTCACCTCATTGGGAGGCGAGTGCTCTATCCCTTGAACCACCACGGTTCAAAATACAGTAGGGAACCGATTATCCGGAACGATCGGGACCATCGCTATTCCGGATAACTGATTTTTCCGGTTTTCTGAATCGCTACAAAAAGTCGTTTTTTTATTGTTAAACCCAACTAAAAAAATTTTTTTTTGGAAATAATCTTAAAAAGAAGAAAAAACGATGGAGTAATACACTAATGATTATTTCCAAAATGATGGTAAGGTAAACATCTTTCAAAAAAAGAAAGAAAAATCCTAAAATCTTATGAGGGAAAAATTTAAAAAAAAAAAAAATGGCGGGAAAATTTATCGAATTTCGTTCCGGTTTTCTGGTTTTCCGGTTTTCTGATTTCCGGATAACGGGTTCTGTACTGTATATATAACGTATTTGAAACGTGGTTCTGCCCAGGATCGAACCTTTTGCATGCAAAGCAAACGTGATAATACAAGTAAATTGATAACAAAAGTAGCTGAAGTATAAATCACTTTTTTTTGTATGAATCACTTTTTTTAATACTTTTATGTTGTCATCCTGTAATAGAAGAACAATTGAGTAATGAAAATGGAACATATACCTGAGAGTTCTTTTTTGAATATCATAATCAGAAATACCATAAAAGCTAATGGCTTCATTGAACTCAGGGTTTAAAGTTTTGTGCACAGTTCTAGTTCTTAATTTGTCCATCTGGAAGAAAAAGTGCCATATTCTGTGCATACAACGTTTTATACACATGTTAATGATAATATTTAAAGGTATTCATAAAAAAATCGAATACAATAAATGTTGCAATGTATATTAGGTATTAAAAATAAGAATCGCATTTTATTGCTATTAATATTTATAGCGCAACGCGCTGCATTATTATTAGATCTACCGGTAAATTCTGCTCACTAAAGAACACGCTCCGTTATACAACTTTGTAAAAAAAGCATATGAAAAAAAAAGTGGTTGGATGAGATGTACCGCTTAATTCTGTCGGATACTTTACAGGTTTGAATATCAGGTTTCCAACGACCTGGAAAAAAAATAAATGAGTGGTGGCCAAAATGTTTCAAGATTCCTGAAAAATGCTTAAATTTATCTTTGATTTGTAAATTACGGAAATGATCATGGCTTATTTTCTGCACGCATATTTATTTATTTCAAATTAAATATTTATTGATAGCTTGAAACATCTTTATCATTTTATCTAGATATTATATAAACCGTGGAAACCTTGAAAATGTAGAGATGACAACCGCTCCGGATTCTACAAAATATTTTAAAAAATGGATCATCAAAAATTATTAATTACGATCTATAACACTCTAAAACTAATTGGGTTCATTAGTGCATAATGTTTGGAGATTAGAATTCATTAAAATCAAGAGCAAGAAAGCTAATATAATAATAGTAAATAGATTCAACATAGTGATTAAAAAGCTGAGACCTAATGAATGAACATATGAGGAAAACAGAGAAAGACTTAAAAAATATATTTAAAATTAATGATATAGAAATTATAAAATTTTAAAAAAGTCAACTCTAAATAAAGTCAATTCTAAAAGAGCAAAAAATATTATTTGATTAATGAACAATTACACTCTCTGTACTTGCACAAAATTTAAATGCACATTACAACACGTAAATTTGAAATTTCACGGTTTAAATTTTTAAAAAAAATTGTACTAGCCACTTTCTGTTATTCCATTTGATAACCATGCGTTTGAATTACGTATCATGCGTAAAACAATAAAATTAGTAGATACAATAAAGTTATTTAAATGCATTGAATTTATGCAGAAAACTATTTTTCGTTACTATTTTGTAAATTCGAAACATATTTCAAGGCGACGAATTTGTAGCCCATGCATATGATTTTAGCGACAGTGGTAGAGCATTTAATGACAACTGTCGTCATTTCGTCATACTGGCGTGAACTCTATGTTACTGTAATAAAATGTAAACAATATATATTAGAGTAATTTATTACTTTGCTCTGAATGGGAAGAAGATGAAGGCGAACATAAGGATCAGCAAGACCATCACAGTCTGTTGGTTTAAGACCCTGGAATAAAAGAATAGGAATAAGAATAATCCGTATGCGTTTGAATTATAACGTCGGTCTTTCGAATCATATTATCATGCAAAATTTTTGATATCTAAATAGAACGTTAATAATTCATTTTATTTAATTTTATAACCGCCGTCCCATTTTGGGGTTTACGAACATCAATGCTCAAAATTTTAGCTTTTTAATTTTGAACTCAACTCAAAGGAACTTCTGAGAGTCACGGTGGCTCAAGGAATGGAGAGCTCACCACCCAATAAGGTAACCAAAATTCGAATCCCAGCTGTGACTGGTAAAGACTAATTCTGCTCCAGACTCGCACTGACCACAGTGCTGACCTAAAACATCCTCAGTGGTTGAGGGACCAGGAGTTAGAATCCTCTTGAAGTCGGGCTAATCAAGGGAGATTTTCGTGGTTTTCTTTTCCATGTAATGCAATTGCGAGTTAGTTACAACAAAAAGTTTTACACAAAGGCTTGTGTGTTCCAATTCTTGATGCAGGAGTTCCTTTGTCTTCTGGGTTGGGTTCAAAATAGCATGGAGTTGACCATTGATTGTGTTGTAAACTCAGAATTGTGTCTGCTGTTATTCGTCGGTTATAAAAAAAGTGACTTATAGATCAAATAAGAGGACAAACCAGCCTTCGTGGAGGACATTCTGTCGAAACTAATCAGCGTTTGAGTTATAGGGAGAGAAAAACCCTGAAAATCTCTCACGGTTAGTCTGACGACGGCAAGGGTATTTTAATCCATCATCCACCTGCCACTTATGTATCGTGGTTATCAAAATCATTTTAAATCAAATTCGTTAAAACAATTATCAAATGTAAAAACTCAAATTTTGCTTTCGGTAAAAATAATCGGGAAAAATCACCAGCTAGGAAACTGACTTGTGAAAATTAAAATACGACACGATATTTGAAAATAGTTTGTGACGAAGTGAAACTAGTCTTCTAAATCAAGTACAACTATTTATAAAGGCTTGGTGACGAAACCGTGGAATTTTCGAGACGATACTAGACGATTCTAGCCTAACTCCGTAAATATTGGTCCTATCGTTTTGAAACTCGACGTTTTCAGAACAATCATTTTGTCGCCAAAATGGTCACCAAACACCGCCAAATCACCAAGATTATTGCCAAAGTCGGCAAAAATGTCGCCGAACCTAGTCTTCCATAAGAAATACATTAGGCGTTCTTTTCTTTCTAACTCACCACAGAATCACGCGACTCTCTCGCAAACTTTTCAATTAAACCACCCATCCTGGGTCCGAACGAAATACCCAGCGAAGTAATAAAAACATTCATAAAACTATATAAATATTTACAAATTTGTAACACTAAGTTAGGTCTATTAAACATTGTAGTAACGGATGTTTTACCCGAATTAAAAAAAGTCTATATTTTATGCTACCATTTCTTTTTCTATCCAAGGGTTCCGCGAAGTGGTAGTACCATTTCAAATTTAGCTTGCTTTTGGGAGGAGTGAAAGAATCCTAACCACCAAATACTTATAAAGTACTTACAAGAAAGTATACTTACAATCAATAATAATTGTTAATATGTATTGGTGTTAATGGACATTTATTCCTACCGAAAACAATCTAGAAATAAAACGGTTTTACTACCAGTTACTATTTCTCTATTTTTTTTGGTGCAAAAACAATGCCTTTTTTGAGGTAAGTTACAGCCCTGAAATAAGTTCAAGTATATTAAGAATCTAAGTTATTACTTTTGCTCTGTATATCGTGCAGTGGAGGACTTGGTTGTGTGCATCAAACAAAAGACTAAATTCTAAAGTACCTAAAACAAAAAAGAAAATTTTATGAGTAATGAGAAGAGATTATAAATATGCCAGGTAAATAATATTTATTATATTCAAGATTATGAATATATCATGAATATTCAAGATTTATAATATATGATATATTCAAAATTACGAATATTCAAGATTAATAAAATATTATATATTCAAGATTATGAATATATTAGGAATTTTCAAGAATAAAAATATATAATATATTCAAGATTGCGAAAAGAACACGCNCGATTTTTCTACATATTGAATTATTTTTTATCTCTCACAGGACCTTCTATGGGCCAAAAAGAATGTTAATTAATTTATTAATTAGCAAATTAATTAATTATCCAATTAATTACAAATTAATTGGAGTATGAGATAATTACAATAACTAATAGTCTGCATTGAAGTAATAAAATACCGCTTTTTCTATCTATTGAATTATTTTTTATCTCTCACAGGACCTTCTATGGGCCGAAACGAATGTTGCCCCCTAAAATTATTCCTCATAAGGCATACATCCCACTAGTTTATTTCAAAATTGGCGAGTCACACTTCCCTAGTTTTCCTTGTAAGAATCACAACTGATTAACTACCACTTGAAAATATTTATTCGCTGTCCGGAGCAAGTTGGCATCTCTGTGTATATAATTAAAACTATTTTTGTTATTCTATAATTGCAATAATTTCTTCAAACCATTTTAGTAACCATAATAACATAAAAATATTAAAAATTTACTCGAATTATGTATTTCTAATAAACTTGGCTTCACCGGTCACCGGTGACCCCAGTGGCGCTACGAACAAACTCAGTGCCGGTCACCGGTGACCCCTATGGCATTCAACGTGTTAATAAGTCTTGGTGCTAATGGACATTTATTCCTACCGAAAACAATCTAGAAATAAAATGGTTTTACTACCAGTTATTATTTCTCTTTCTTTTGGTGCAAAAACAATGCCTTTCTTGAGGTAAGTTACAGCCCTAAAGTAAGTTAAAGTATATTAAGAATCTAAGTTATTACTTTTGCTCTGTATATCGTACAGTGGAGGACTTGGTTGTGTGCATCAAACAAAAGACTAAATTCTAAGGTACCTAAAACAAAAAAGAAAATTTTATGAATAATGAGAATATATTATAAATATTCAAAGTTAATAATATTTATTATATTCAAGATTATGAATATATTATGAATATTCAAGGTTTATAATATATGATATATTCAAAATTAGGAATATTCAAGATTATATTATGAATATTCAAGATTAATAAAATATTATATATTCAAGATTATGAATATAATAGGAATTTTCAAGATTAAAAATATATAATATATTCAAGATTACGAATATATTATAAATATTCAAGATTATGAACATTCAAGATTAATAAAATATTATATATTCAAGATTACGAATATAATAGGAATGCTCAAGATTAAAAATATATAATATATTCAAGATTACGAACAAGATAAATAATATAATATGAATATTCGAGATTTATAAAATATTATATCTTCAAGATTATGAATATATTATGAATTTTCAAGACAGAAAATATATGATACATCCAAGATTGCGAAAACTTATAACCATTCAAGATAAATAATATAGGATGCATTCAAGATTAATAATATATTATACATTCAAAATTTTGAATAAAATATGAATACTAAAAATTGATATTATATTATATATTCAAGATTATGAATATATTATGAATAGTCAAGATAAATAATATACGATAAATTCAAGATTATGAATATATAATAAATATTTAAGATTATGAATAGATTATAAATATTCAAGATTAATAATATCTGGTATATTCAAGATTATGAATGTATTATGAATATTCAAGATTAATAAAGTTTTGTTTTTTAATGATCATTCTCATTTTTGTTTTGTTTTACATAATAAAGTAAAAAATAAACTATAAGCATCACAAATTTATATTATAAGGAAAAAAAAAAGGTTTCATAACTCTGACCAATCATTCAGTTCTGAAAGAGCAAAGGCAGGATTAAAAAGAAATTAAAAACAGTTTGATTGCTTAATGGATTTTAAACTATGACCTTAATTTATAAACTTTATGCTAAGAACAGGATTTGAACTTTGTTATTTATTTAATAGTCCGATTTGATACAACGCTTGCTTTATATTGTTTGGTTTGAGTTTAAAAACTTTTTGTTTCTCTTTAATACAATTGGGCTCCACTTTAACGCACCTCTAGTTACCGAAAAAAGCGATTTCACGTATTTTTCTTTTCCTCGAATTGAAATACTGGCAAAAATCTCAGCACAGTGAATAATAAATCCCAAATTAACGAATTACTGAGTCATGGTAACCCAGTGGTTAGAGAATCGAATTCCGGTTCGAAGGGACCAAGTCACGATTCTAGCCTCAGCTAAGACCCACTAAGTACATATGATATACGTGCTCGTAAGATCTGTCGGTCGCTGAACAGTTTGGTACTATAAGTACAGGGATCTGGAGAAAATTTCCTTCCCTTTAAGATTTATGTCTGTAGTTGTCATCGTCGGCCATTAAGACAGAGAGGAGGAGCGATTGTTTTTGTTTTTCAGTGGCTCCATCTATGGCCGAGAATTTGACTTTTGCAACACCCATACGTCACACTCGTTTATTTTATAGGGCGGACCCATTCATACATCTATTCATTCGTCCTCAGATCGTAACTTTGACCAAAACCAGAAAACGATCAATCTCCAATTCAGTACCCCCAGAGGTTCTGATTTGTTATAGGAACATGGAGGACTTTGTGACCCGACAGATTTAACGTGTACCAGTTACGATTTACTGCACGGGGAGTCTTCGGCCGGCTGGATTCGTGCTCCCGTTCTCACTAACTGGAATTCAGCACCGTGCCTGTTTTTTTGTGTGCCTAAATTGAGGATGTGATGAATGAGTTGTGCTGAAACTGATCCTCGGGGATCTGAGCCAAGACGTACCTTCACCTTTGCGGTGCTCTCTTGTGAAACGTAAATTCGCATAAGACCAGGATTGTCGAAGTGTCATGAGAAGTAACAACGAATTATTTCAAAAGCTAATAAAAAAGTTTTCGCTCTTTTAAAATTTATTATTATTTAGTTTTCTGTATTTTATTAATTTTCTTTTTGAACAAATTTTTTGTGTGGATATTTTGACGTCTATAGATTAAGTTTTTGATGATACAAAAAAAAACTATTTTGTTTATTTATCAATGTTTCGACTATGACCCAATTTTCATTTTAAAAATCGTTGAAACCGCTAATTTCCCTGCTTACATGAGTGTGTTTTAGTCATTAGGTGTAGGTATCATTGGTTCTGTAAAGATAAATTACACTAAGTTGCTTTTGTAAAAAGTATTGCATCGCTTGACGAAATTGCGGTAAAAAAGATACAGAGCCATTGGTTTGAATGCAAACAAAGTGTTTGAAAATACAATTGAAAAATTCTTTCAAAATGTTAGATTTTCTGGCCCTCTAGTGCAGCGGTTCCCAAAAGGTGTTCCGCGGATCATAGGGGTTCCGTGAAAGGATTAAAGGGGTTCCGAGAGCTAGAAATTGTTTTTTAACCAGTAATAATTATGATTATATCCAATCAAAACTCCATAATATTTGCATTATTTCGGTTGATAATACGAAATTATTTATGTAAAAAACACAATAAAAAAAAGCAAAATTAATTATAAAAAAATAGATTCAAGTAAAAAAGTCAAATGCTTTTATGTGGCATTGAATTCCAATCATTTCATCAATGTTTTCAATTCAAAATAATGTAACCAAAATTAAGAATAAAGAATTACGTTTTTCTTATAACTATGCACGACATTTATGACATTTTTTTTGTTGAAAACTTAATTCCGCTGATTTTATTATTTTTTTTAGATTATTCATGCACCAAGAAGGAAGCCATAATTTAAAACATTTAATTATCCGCATTTAATCCCAGGGTTTCTCCAGAAGAATCTCGATTATTTAAGGTTCCATTAAAGAAAAAATTGGGAACAGCTAGCTGCTCAAGTGGAATTTAAAATTTGTATTGTGTTTAGCTACTTAATAAAAAGTATACATTTACTACTTAGGGATATTTTGGTGACGTTGCATTATCAAAACGAGGGAAGAAATGTTTTGGGAAACCTTATAAAGTTACGGAAATAATTGCTTATTGCCTTAATTATTATACCTGGATAGATAATTGTTATGTAAAATGAAAAGGACGACTTTGTACGAAATTATTTTTATAAATGCAATAAATTAGCAATTTTTTTAATTTCCTTGTCCTCATTTTTTTTATAAAACTTAATGTTACTTAGAACTTTCTATTTTCGCTATGTGTTTTCTACTTTTTACTCCTCACTTCTCAAAACTTGTAATTTTTAACCCCTACTTACTTTTTTCTTTTAATATCTGTATTTTTTTATTTTATTTGTTTCCATTTGAAAGCAACGATCTTTCCTATAACCTTGACGGGTATAACTTCCGTTATCTAATTTTAAACTCTTTTAAATTAATATTGGATGTTGGTTAAGACCAACATTAACCTAATGTGACGGTCTTTTCACTCTATTGAGAAATTATTTTTTCTATATATTCAAAATTTCTGAAGCAAAGTGAACCCTCAGGCTCTGAGCTACGCTCGACTATGGGCACTACCATTACGACGACAGGTAGAAGAAATATTGTATAAAGTTTTGCAGCTTATTTCGATTGTACAGCATTATAAAAAAAAAAGAAGTTTTTTTTCATTCTGAAATCCAATATGACCCACCGTTTTTCCGCTTCGTTTTCTGAAAACACTCCTTCACCTACGTTTACTATTTTTTTAATATTTTTACGGCTATGAAATTAATTTAGAGGAAAGAATAATGCTTATTTTTACTGGTAGACTTTTTAAGAGGAGCTAGACAGACGAAAAGCTCTGAAGCATGATAAATTGTGGCAAAAGAGATGTCGGAGGTATATTCCATCTTAATCGGTAAATAAATCACTACAAATAACTC